TCAATCTCAGGCCAAAGTTCAAAAACTGCAATAAGATTTTACCACTGCTAAGCCACAGAACTTAGTAGAGTAGCGAAAGTCCGGATATTTAGCTTCTGCTTTGACAACAATTCATGAAACCGACAATGGCTTCGTCCACAACAACAAATGACACTTCCAGTTCAATGACACGTGACAGACCCCAGTATTTCCTCCATGTACTAGCTGAGGGATCACACAATGGATGACCACAGCTTTTAGTACCCTGCCTTTTTACAAGCTTTGTAAGTTTTCCCGACGAATTGTTTCTCTGCCCCACATGTGTTGTTTTCCCACCATCATTCATAGCACATCTTAGCAGATTCCACTTCAGGTTGTAATGATTCCGTTTTCTCAGCTTCTTTGAGTACATTCTCACCTTTAGTTGTTCCATACACACTATGCAAAGAAGCTAATTTTAAAAAAGATTTTATTTATTTAGTTTTAGAGAGAGGGGAAGGAAAGGAGAAAGAGAGGGAGAGAAACATCAGTGTGTGATTGCCTTACGCGCCCCCTGCTCCCTTGCCCCGGGGACCTGGCCCACAGCACAGGCATGTGCCCTGACTGGGAATCAAACTGGTGACTCTTTGGTTTGCAGGCCAGCACTCAGTCCACTGAGCCATACCAGCCAGGGCCTGAAGCTAATTTTTTAGCCACTGCAAACTTGGCATTGATTTCACAAATTAACAACTGAGCACTATCAGTAACATCTATCAACTCATCATGAGCCAAAGAAAACCACTCAAAATAATTGGCTTTTTAAAAAATTGACTACTAATGTTGCTCCCAAAGTCCTCAAATTTTGAATTAATTGAAGAAAATGCAATAGTCTTTCTTTTTAGATAAATGGATTGTTTTTTATTTTTTAGATTTTATTTTTGTATTTTTAGAGAGAGGGGAGAGAGGGAGAAAGAGAGGGAGAGAAACATCAGTGTATGAGAGGTACATTGACTGGTTGTCTCCTGCACATCCCCAGCTGGGGACCTGGCTCACAAGCCAGGCTTGTACCCTGGCCAGACATCGAACCAGAGACCTTTAGATCAAAGGCTGATGCTCACTCCACTGAGCCACACTAGCCAGGGCTCTAATAGTCTTAAACCTGTCTAATAGTCTTACTTTTCTCTGGATATATTTTCTTGGCTGTTACAATCAAATATGATTTAATTAACTCACCTTTGAGTGAGTTCAATGGCATTCCTTGCTTGGCTAACGATGGGCCACTCAAAAGTGAGCTACTTTGGTTGCAATCTCCTTTTCATGTTTTATTTTTATGAAGAAATCCCGTTGTCATGAGATGTGGCATTCTTAATTCTCTCATTTTTCTGGTTGTTGCTTTCTGTGAGTTGTGAATACTGTGACGAGTGCTTGATCTGGCGATGTAGATGTACACTGTATCTTTTTAGCATAGCGATGGTGTCACTGCGTGCTTTGCCAGAGATTCAATGACAAAATAATCCACCCTCCACTGTGCTTAATTAACAATGTGACTTTCAAAGTCCGTTTTTCTCTTTTTGTTTTGATGTGGCAGGTATGCACATATTATATGCATATAAAATAATAAAATACATATAATGCCACCACATAGTGATAGTGCTCTCAAAATACCGTCAAATTGTAACCGCGCCACTGCAAGTTGTGGTGCACTATTGAAATGTAATTCTTTTTTTAAAAAGATTTTATTTACTTTTAGAGAGAAAGGAAGGCAGAGAGAAAGAGGGGGAGAGGAACATTGATGTGAGGGGGAAACATCAATCGGCTGCCTCTCATTCATACCCCAGCCTGTGACCCAAATGGCAACCCAGGCATGGGCCGTGACCGGGAATTGAACCAGTGACCTTTCACTTTGAAGGATGATGCCCAACCAACTGAGCCACATGTCAGGGCTGCAATGCAAATCTGGTCCTACTGGAGTTAGGTCAAATTTCACAGCTCTCCACAAGACTTCTTTCACCTCAGACACCATCCTCAACCTTTGGGTTTCTCAGCAGTCTATACCTCTGACCAACTGCCTACAAGTTTGGGGCTTTCCCCCGTCCTGAGGTTCAGTGATTCACTAGAATGACTCACAGCACTCAGGAAAGTGCTATACTTATGTATACAGTTCTATTACAAAGGATACAAATCAGGATTAGCCAAATGAAGAGAAGCACAGGGGAAATTTGGAGAGTGACAAGTGTGAAGCTTTCATGCTCTCAGGATGTGTCCCCTTCCCAGCATACCGATGCATTTCAACCACCAGGGAAGCTCACCTTAGGCTGACGTTTAGAGCTTTTATTGGAGTTTTATTACGTAGACATGATTCATTGAATCAGTGGCCAAGAGGATGAAGTCAATCTCTAGCACCGGGACCCCCCCCCCCCCCCCCCCGTTCCGCACCATCTCATCAACATAAACTGTCCCGCAGAAACTCAACACGAGTCAGAGTCAACTCATTAGCATAAACCGGCAGGACCCACCACGAATAACACAGACCTTCCTATTACCTGGGAAACTCCAAGAACTTAGATGGTACCTCCCAGGAACTAGGAACAAAAGCCAGCCAAATTCTTTATTATACAACAGCCACTGGGCAGCATCATAGACCACAGAGGGAGCCACATCCTGTGTCTGTTACAGTTCTTCCCCTCTGCCATTGTAGCACGCATGGGGGCAGCTGCAGCCCACACACAAACCCATGAGTGTGTCCCGATAAAACTTCATTTATAGACACGGAAACCTGAATTTCATATAATTTTCGTGTGTCATAAATTCTTTTTTTTCCAACCATTTTTAAAAATGTAAAAATTATCTTTAGCTCACAAGCTGCAACACAGGAAGCAGGCCAGCTTTGGCCCCCATCCTATAGCTTCCTGACTCCTCTCTCATCCAGATCAAGGAAGGCCAGCCAACTGCAGCCTGAGAGCCAAATCCTGCACTCTGTTCCTGTAAGTAAAGTTTTACTGACACAGCCATGCTCGTTCATTAACGTACTGCCTGTGGCTGCTTCGGGGTGGCAATGACTGCTTTGCGTCATTGCAACAGAAACTGTATGGCCTGCAGAGCCCAAAATACTTAGTTTTGCCCTTTGTAGAAACATTTGCTGACCCCAGCTAGACCAACAGAAAGGAGGAGTCCAGGTATATAGGCTTTATCATTTCGTCTAATTACGTTAACACAATTAGGTAGGAGGGTATTATCGTTACTTTACAAATGGGTACCTAAAGCTTAGAGAGATGGAGGAACTTGTCCAAGGTCACGTAGCTTATAAATGTTGAGGTTGGGTCCAAATGCAGACTTCTGGTGGCTGTCAGCATTCATTGGGCTGTGGCTGTACATGTCTCCAATCTGCTTGGTGTCACTTTGCTTTCTCTTCTGGGTCGTATCTCCCTCTGCCTCTCTCTTTTAAGGATATTTTGTGATTGCACACAGGGCCCACTTGGATAATCTCACCACAAGATCCTTAACTTCATCATGTCCACAAAGGCCTTTCTTCACTGTAAGGTAACACTTAGAGGTTCCAGGGATGACAGACCCTATACTGTTGAGAACCATGATTCGACCTCCTGCACAAGAGGTACTGCCCAGGATCTGTGCGGGTGTTACAGAGAAGCAGGGGTCCTTTCACCTGTCCAGATCCATTGTCTACTCTTCATCTTTCTGTGCTCCTGGGGGCTGACTGTGTGGATTGGCCTCTGGTTTCTGGGTGGGTCCTGCTAATGACAGTCATGGGTGGATGCTGTTTCCCTGGCTGCCCGGCTGCCTGGGTCCAGTGACTCTCCACAGGCCACAGCTCCTGTCAGGTGACCCTCCCCATACACCACCATCTCCAGGTTCTGGGAGCCACTCCCTCCTGGCCCCCTCCAGTCTAGCGGTGGCAGTATCCCCAGCCCTGCACTGTCCCTGGCTGGTCATATACCTTCGTGCATCGTCCTTTTATTTGATGTTCCTTAATTACCCAGTTTTAGTGTGTCACTGGTTTCCTGTCAGGCCCTATGTGTCAAATCAGAGATCTATTTATAAGGAAGTTTACTAGCAGCATTATTTATAGTAACAAAAACTCAAAAACAGTCCAAATAACAAAATAGGAGACTGGTTAAGCAAATTATGACATCTTCATACAGAATATAAAAATATTTTAACAATAATATTGTAAAAGAATATTACTGAAATGATAAATAGTCACAGTATATTCCTAAGTAAAACCCCCATAAAATTGTATATATAGTAATGTCTCATTTTTGCGAAGTGTCTCATTTTATTTTGGAAAGAGTAAAACCATATGTAATATTACATTTTGATAAAATTATATCAATATGTGCTTGTATATCTTATGTATAAAATGTGTATTTTGTTATGTATATATGCCATATAATTATATTATATATGCTATAGAATGCAATCGTATACGACACATATATAACATGTATTCACCATGTTACATTTTTTCTAGAAAAAATTATTTTTCTAGAAAATTATTTACCGATCTGAGTGTCTATGTTTATACCATACATGTTATATAGAACACACAACACATGCTCTAGTTAACATGTATGTGTAGGCATGTATTTCTCTTTTACAGGTCATTCAGCCTTTTAGGCTTCAAATAAAATTGGTCGTATGCTCTATTACATGTTTGTGGGAAGTATTATGCACAACGTCCTACTCAGGTTCATCCAGATTCCCAGGAGCTCATGGCTGCCTCAAGACTCCCTCTCAGGACCCCCGGGTTTCTTTTCCTTCTCCAGTGCCCCGGCTTAGATGTGGGATAGAGCCACTTCGCTGAATTTCTGCAAAACCACCTGCAGGAGACAAATGTGTGTGGTGGACAGCTTCTTACTGTCCAAAGCGCCACGTGGCTACTTTTCCTGCAGTAAGCTTCTCAACGATCCTGGGCTCAGACCACAGTGGGTACAGCTGTGGCCCTGGCTGTGGGTGGGCGTGGCTTCGGAAGGCATGGGCGTGGCCTTGGCCAAGGACTTGGCCATAAGCCTGGAGCCAGGGCAGGGCAGGTCGGCTCTCTAGGTTCTGCTCGCTTCCATTCCTCCAACCACCTCTTCATTGCTTGCTCTCCACCCCAGGATTACAAACCATGACTCCCTGATGACTGACAGAGGTCATTCTGGGACAGAAGAGACCAACCAGTGGAAACTCTGAACTGTGAGTCTCTCCCATCTTCACCTGTCTCTAAGAAGAAGCAATGCACTTGCAGGCACAGCCCAGGGCTTGCCGAGTAAACTAGAAAATTGCAGCTTCCACGCTTAACTGGCTGTGTGGTCTGGGGCATGGTTCTTCACGTGCCTCAGTTTCCTTATCTATGAAATGGGGGTGGCAGTATCCTGGCTGGTATAGCTCCGTGGATCAAATGCCGCGGGCCTGTGAACTGAGAGGTCACCAGTTCCATTCCCAGTTAGGGGCCAGGCCTGGGTTGCAGGCCAGGTCTCCAGTTGGGGGCGTGCAAGGGGCAACCGATCCATGCACCACTCGCACGTGAATGTTTCCTCCCTCTCTTTCTCCCTCCCTTCTCCTCTCCCTGGAAGTAAATATATAAGATCGTAAAAAAAGAAAATAAGAAATGGGGGTGGCAGTAACATTTAATAGGGTTGCTGAAAATTAAATGAGTTAAACACAGAAAAGTATCCTAGAGTTAATAATGTATGAAGTGTGTGGAACAAGGTATGGCACAAAGTAAATACTATTGAATATTAGCTATTTTATTTTCTCCCCATGAATATGAATTATGCCCTCCCCTCCCCCTCCCATGAACATGCAGGAGCAGCTATAGTCAGCTCAACTCTGAATTATGTATTTCTGTCTCTATATCTAAAATCCTGGAAGACAATATTGCAACATGTTGGAGGTGAGATTATGGTGTTTATTTTTTCCTTTTATTTTCTGTGTGCTTTCTCAAGTTTTCTATGTTTTGTACGTTGAGCATTTGTTATTTTTGCAACTGTGGAAAATGCAAATTTGTTTTCAAAACAAAGGCAAGAGAAGCCTCATGGGGCGATAATGGTGTGGGTTAGGAGAAATCCTTCCCCTGTGTGAGAGTCAGCTTTTGGGAAATCGGTAGCCCTTAAAAATTAATGATGCCCCTGTTTGCATCTCATAAGAAATCTATGATTATTTATTGCTCTTCAGACTTGCCATTTTGGCATCTTAAAGAGAAATCAAACACAGAAAAATTAAAGTGCAATGTTTGATTTGTTCCTACAAACTGAATTGTTCTGAAGATTTCCCCTTTGCTTCCTAGATTTTAAGAGGCTGAGCCTGCTTCCTGCCCCTAATTGCTCTCTTAATTTAATCTGCTCAAAGTCTCCCCCGCGTGTAAATCATGGGTCTTCAGGGCTGACTCTGGCTGGTCTGGTCTCTTGCAGAGTTGTGCTCAGCTGTTTTACAGGTTCCCCTGAATTCTGTTTTGCTAGCTTTTTTCTTCCAAGCGGGTTTCTCTGACCTAATTAAAAGCTCAGATATTTGCACGAAGTTGCACATTAAGCGAAAGGAGCTGGACTCATTTTCCTTTTCTCCAGGAGAGAGCTGGAGCTAGCTACGCATTTGTCCTGATTTTCCTGTTTTGGTCCCTGATCATTTCTCTTATGGGCGCACAGTAACTATTGGTGTTTATCAAGCGTAAATTGGTTCTTTGCATAAAAACAGAACCCAAACAAGTTAGTTCACTTTCATTTCCTTATCTGTAAAGTGGGGATAAAAAACATATATATTAGTTTCCTAGGGTTGCTCTAACAAATAATCACACACTTGGCTTAAAACAATAGAAATTTATTTTCTCCAGAAGTCTAGAGGCCAGAAGTACAGAATTGCGGTGTCAGCAAGGCCATGCTCGCTCCAAAGTCTCCGTGGGAGGGCCCTCCCAGCCCTGGTCCTCCTTGTCCTGTGGCAACATCACTCCATTCTCTGCCTCCATCTTCACGGGGCCTTCTTCACTGCGTCTCTCCTCCCTTCCCTCTGATGACACCATTGCATCCAGGGCCTCCTTTAAGTCAAGGGTAATCTTATCCCAAGATCCTTAATTACACACAAAATATCCTATTTCCGGATAAGGTCACATTCCCAGGTACCTGGGATTATGATTCAGACATATCTTTTAGGGGGACGCTCTGCAACCACCAGAACTCATCAACCTTGTTGAGTTGCTCGGTGTTACAAATGGTGTGATAATGTGTGCAATGCAGCTACCACAGAGCCTGGCACACAGTATGTGCTCAACTAATCCTCCTCCTCCTCCTCATCATTCTCACCCCACACCAAGGGAGCGCTTCCATCCGGCCAGGGCTGACACGGAGCCTATTCGTGCCTCCATCCACTTCCTCCCCTCACAGCATCTCTTCAGGGAGCTGTTGTAATGCCCTGTTTTACAGACAAGCAGACGGAAGCTTCAGAAGCTTGGAGGGGCTGGTAATGACAGGTGGTGCCGGCACTGCAGAGCCTGTGCCCTTCTCCTGCTACATTCGGTTGCTTGGGTCTGCCCCTCTGTTGTGACCCAGCACCACCCCTTCATCCCTGCTACACTGCACTCTGACCCAGAACCATGTGTGGTGGGGAAAATTAACAGTGGAGGAAGAGAAGAGGGAAGTTTCTGTGTTTCTAAACCGGCTTGGGTATCCTGGTGACATGGCAGGTGGCTTGCTCCGGGGTGAGTGACGCGAGAGAGGGAAGGAAGTCATTGTGCCTTTTATGTGCTCACCTGGGAAGTCTCACATTACTTCTGCCACACCTAACTCACTTCTGCCGAGGAATGAATTTATTCCTTGGACATGAGTCACTCAGTTCAGCCCACACTAAAGAGGGAGGGACATTAGGTGCCACCCTTTGAAGGGAGAGTACCAGAGAACCTGGGGACAGACTTAAAAATAACCACACTACACACTGCATGGGAGGAAGATGGCCTTTGTCTAAGCACTTAATCTGGGATTTTAATCAAGGGCTTAGCTCCGCAGAGCGAGGCCTAGAGCTGAGTTTCAGGGCGTGAGCCGAGGAGAACTAAACTGTCCCACACACGGGGAGTGGGGAGAGGAGCCTGGCAACACGCAGGAGCCTGCAGGTTTGTGAGAGACCAGGTTTCGGTGCTGTCGTGTTTCACACGGTGTGCCGAAGTGCAGGCCCCTCTCACCAAACCACTGATGATGAAGTCCCCCCCCCCATACACACACATGCACACACACGCCCTTGTCAGAGAGACTTTCCATGGTAATTACGGAAAGGGGCAGAGTTTCAGGTCCGGTCAATGGAGTCTAACAGCAGGGACTACACTCGAGGGCAGCAAGCTGATCCTCATGATGGTAAGGGCCACGAGGTCCCTGGGAAGTCTCCCAAATCTTGGGAAAGGCGATGACAGTTCAGTGAGCCTGGAACGGGAGGTGATCTGAAGGAGCAGAGAGACTGCGCAGGGAGAGGTCCCTGCCGGGGAGTCATTACTGAGCGCGAGGAGCTGGAGAGGGCTTCCCCTGGGAGGGGCAGAGCCTGCCCTCATTTCCAAGAGGAGCCTTCAGGCAAGTGGAAATCCTCATTAGCTGCTCTTCGGGCAGAGAGATGGATGGGTATCAGCTCTTTGCGGTTAATTTTGCCACTAACTGCCTTGGAGGATTCAATGTTTCTGAGCAAAGCCTAAGCTGCCATTTAGCAGTTTTCATAATGTTAAGTCCTTTGCTTTCCTCTTCTATAATACGTGGTGGTTTGGGAAGGGGGTATTCATGGGCGTCAGGCTTCATTAAACCTGAAAAATCAATTTCGTGTCTCTCAACGTGAGGCACGCCATCAGCTTTGTGGTGTCCATCACTCTGTCCCGTGTAGTTACTGGGTTTGTACATCTCTCTTCTTCTGAAAAACATAAAGCCCTACTGAAGGATCTCTTAAGAGCAAGAACATCCCTGATATTTTGATATTGAACAAACACCCTTTCGACAAGGAAAGGCACCAAGAGGAAAGATGGTTAAGTGGGGAAAAGAACATTATGAAGTTCAAATGTTTACCATTTCACCAAGACTCTGGTTGGTCAGGTTGTTACACATTTAAAAGTCCTGTCTGGGCTCTGGTTAGTCACTGTGCCGGTCAAGGGCGGGTCTGGGTCTTGGCCCGCCCTGGAGCCCCAGTGCGTGGTGTGGTCCATGCGCCATAAACATTGGTTGATGTGAGCAATCGTAAGAGACCATGAACACAGAGAGATCAGGTAGGGTCCAATTCTAGAACATTTCCAAAGGTAAAAATATTTCAGAATAATGAAGCCCCTGATCAAAAGGTTATGGATTCCCTTGTTTCTTACTAATGTTGATGGAGATTCAGGAAGGTGGAGGGGCAGTTCACAGGGTGGGGTGTGGGGGGAGTGCAGGGAAGATGGCAGATGGCTGGTGCATCCGTCCATGCTATGCAGGCAGAAGTAGGTTCAGTGTTTGTATGGAAAATAATATGATAATTGTGAATAATAATGCAAGAATAAATTCTGTGTTTTGTGTACTCACAGCTGTAAACCTACATTTGCCCCACCCTGTATATATCCATTAAGGCCAGTGAACTTAAACACTATTTTCCCTATTTTCAAAAGCTTCGCTACCAAATGTCATTGAAAATAACAAAATCTAAAGGGAGTAGACTTTGAAAGGGATCCTCTGCCCACTGATCTTGATACAGTCTGTTACTCTCCCCTAATTTTCCTGCATTTGTGCATTTTAAGTCCCCAAATAGATGCTGGGTTCCATGAGAATAGGGGCTGTATCTTTCCCATCTCAACCCCTCCCCCCCCCCCCCACACACACACACACAGGGTCGCACACTGGCCCTGCCTGAGGTTCGGCTCACACCACCTGCCTCCAGGTTCACTTGCTCAGTGCCTTAAACAATGGAAGTGTCAGCTGGAGCCTTCTTGTCCCTTAAGATCTGGACAGCGTTGTCTCACATACACCCTCCCACAGACTCCGGAGAACCCGGTGCCTTCTCTGAGACACCTATAGGTTCCTGGGGGGACCTGCATTCTGGCTTAACTCTTGGCTGACCTGCTGTTTCCATGGGTTAGTTTTGCTTAGGGTTCACCTGGCCGTGTCATATAAACCTGAGACAACCATTTCCTTATTTTCTATATATTCTCACCGACACATCTTTGTGTGTGGGACCGACTTTATTTTTACTAAAATTTCAGGAAGATGGAG